AAATATAAATATATATATATATATATATATATATATATATATATATATATATATATATATATATATATATATATATATATATATATATATATATATATATATATATATATATATATATATATATATATATATATATATATATATATATATATATATAAAGTCTCCAAGTCGATTTTCGCGTGGAACAGTGCTCAATACGTTGAAGCAGAGCAGAATTAATTTAGTTGCGTCCTTTTTTCCTCTCATAATATATATATATATATATATATATATATATATAATGCGACTGTTAAATGTTAGTAAAATGCGACAGTTAAATGTTAGTAAAATGCGACAGTTAAATGTTCGTAAAAATGCGTTAAATGTTCGTAAAATGCGACTAAAATGTTCGTAAAATGCGACCGTTAAATGTTTGTAAAATGCGACTAAATTTCGTAAAATACGCCCGTTAAATGTTGTAAACTGCAACCGTGAAATGTTCGTAAAATGCGACTTTTAAATGTGCTTAAATTGCGACTGCTACGTGTTCGTAAAATTCGCCCGTTTAGTGTTCGTAAAATTTGCAAATTGAGTGTTCGTAAAACGAGCCTGTTCAGTGTTTGTGAAATTCGATTGTGAAGTTTTCGTATAGGTTTTTTTAGAGTGCGACTACTAAGTGCTTTCAAAGTGCGGCAGTTTCGTGTTTGTAAAATGCACAACCGTAGATTGTTAGTAAAATGCACGCCTTAAGAAGCATCCGGTAGAATGCACGACAACAAAAAGTCCTTCAGATTCACGAGTTTGAATTACTCTTAAAATGCCGAATGTAAAGGGTTCTGGATGTAAGTTGCTGGGAGAAAACAACTGAGGGATTGTCGTTGGATTTAGATTGCAAACTTTCTTGGGTGGCAATTAAATTAAGTCAAGGGTGGCAGTTAAAATATGTCAGTTAAGTGTTTTTAAAATTCACGGCATTCAACTACTTGCAACCCTAGTATTTAAGACCTCAGGAAGAGAGTTAAGGCGATAATTTGAGGTCAATGAATTGATTTAGGAATCTTACACTTAGAGTGCCAGGAAATAATGAATGGGAAATAATTTGAAGATTGCCTATATTGTTAGGGGGTAGGGTATCAACTGGGTTTGGCCATCATCACTGAATTTCTGAGACACGAAACACTTTTTTCGGCTCGTCTTATCACGCACCCAACACCTGTTTACTTAAAGTGGATGTAATTTAATTATTAGGTCATAGAGAAAGAGATAACAAATTTCATTTTCTTTACGTTTTTAGTAACTACAACAAAGAATAAATTTGAAAAAACGACTTTTCTTAGACTGTTGTCTTTTTTTGGACTATTCTTATTCCGCAGAGTACGAGATTTCAATTCTGAATCAAATCCCCAAACTTACAGTAATAATCGTTCAGGAAAAACCCCATGAAGTCGGCACCGTTCGTGCCTTGGTTTCAAGTACCCCATTGTGTTCTCATCCCTAATCGCTTCTGTACCTCGTTGAAATGGTGCTGGCCACCACGTGTTTCTTTTTGTAAATCACTTGTTTAAAGCGAATGCTATGGAAGTACTACTTAAAACCTAACGACTTAGTACTATCGGAAAATCAAAGGGATTAAACCACCATGCTGAAAAACCAGAAAAAACAAACAAAAAATGAACATGATCGATCTAAAAACAAAAATATCAAAACAAAAATATCAAAACAAAAATATCAAAACAAAACCATTGGAGCTAAAGAGAAAAAAAACCCAAAACTTCCAAATGCAAAGAAACTGAAAATTTGGAATTAAGATTGATTTTTTGTATCATGCGAACACTTCTTACCGTTCCACTATCATTGAGATCGAGATTTATACAATGCAAACACATCTTACCATTCCACTATCATCGCTGTCATCTTGAATGCCATATGCCTCTCCCTAAATGTGGCAGCATGTATTTAGAATATGCGGGACACATTTAGAAAAATATGAAAAACAATAATAACATAAAAAAAATTAAATCTCTGTAAAATGAAGTGTCTATAATTCTCGCCAGAGTCATAGACAATTATACTTACTTCATCAAAATTTGTTGCGGGTCCTGCCGGCGGCTGTTGGAATATAAGCATAATGAGAGATATGATGGTCACGTTGACGCCAATGAATTAACTAATTCAAGTAAAACTATCTAGGAGGTCCAATGTTTTCCTGATCAAAGGTGTACCTAAATGTTCGTAATTCCATCAATTTAACCATCAGTTTTTAAACGATATAAATACACCTAACCTCATTGCGGGTCAGCGCCTGGATTCTTTTTTGACGAACCTTGGATTTAATCTTGTTCAAAGTTAACAGCCGTCCTCTCCAGCAAGCTCCAAGGAAAGACAGTCCTTTTCCCCTCAGCTTCATGTGTGAAGTAAAACTAAACTTTCGTTGTACTTTTGCCCGACGCAAGCAAAGTTCAAAAGTACTATTAAATCAATTTAGTCGTGTAATTTTAGCTAAGCTCTAAAAGGTCCAGACTGTTGAATTAAGGGTTTAGTTATGACTTTACATTCCCCTTACTGTGATCAATTTGCCATATCAACTCTGTTGATAGAACCAGATGATCAAGATTCAATAGGCAAGGAATTGGTAGATTATATCTACTCTCTACTATTTAGCAACTGGTCGTGCATCATTCAAAGCCAATGTTTATTATATATAGAAAAGGCATTTTAGATCCACACAGGGTATGCACCTGACATAGAAAGTGTCCAAAGTGGCTGTGAATATTAGAGCAAAAGTAATTACCCATTCGCTGTCTGGTTCGGTGACATCAAGGTCTCCTTCTTCCTCCTCTGCCTATGAACATTTTTGTAAGAAGTATGTATTCATCTATGGTTGGCTTGCAATAGATCTAAGTGTTTCAGTTGCCTAGCCTTGAAATGTTTAGTAAGGGAAATTTTATGCAGAGCTATTTTTCTACCGTTACGCTTAGAAAAAGTTGTCACTGGAATTCTAATCTCAAATTTATTTAAATCAGCGATCATTATAAGCATTCTGCAGGGTATTTTCAGAACTTTGCTTTCATCACCTTCGTTTGCGGTATCATATCAAATTGGAGATGCAAATTACACGTATTGCCGCTGTTTTCATGCGAAAACACAAACGATTAAGACTCTTCAAAACTACCAGGTACCTGCTCTTATCCACTTACCTCACGCTCACGTTGTTTTCCTTTGTCTGCGGCCTCCTATCGATACAGATATCCACAATAAGCGTAAGTCAAAGGTTTACATAATACTTATTCTTAAGCGAAAAACAAGTGATCTTTATTGTGTAAAAATTAAAAATTCCAAATGACGGAGTACGTTTAATTGAAAAGTAATTATGTAATTATCTTGGTTAGATCCCGGGGGAAATTAGTAACAACGTTAATGACTATTGAGAGCGCCGAAAAGGAATGCAAGCTGTTATCTCATACCACCAAACACTCCAAAGATTTTGCTATCGTCATAAAGAGTGGACTTTCAGTCGATATGTTAAGTATGGGGCGCGCTTATCGATTCTATTATCAATTTTTAAACCAGAACATTACAGCATCCTCATATACACCAGGGATATCCCGACACCTTACAAAGCACGAGCTCTCAATAATTTTTTTAAAAATGTACGAGCTTTCAAATGTCTTAAAACGCGCGATGTATCAATTGTCTTAGAAAGCACGCTATCTTAAATGACTTGAAAAGCATGTTGTCTCAAATGTCTTAAAAAGCCCGATGTCTCAAATGTCTTTAAAAGCACGATGTCTCAAACGTCGTAAAATGCACGACGTGCTATGTCTTATAAAGCACGATGTGACAAATGTCTTATAAAGCACGATGTCTCAAATGTCTTAAAAAGCACATCTCAAGTGTCTTAAAAAGCACGATGTGTCAAAGGTCTCAAAAAGCACGATGTCTTAAATGAGCTAAAAAGCACGATGACTCAAGTGTCTTAAAAAGCACGATATCTCAAATGTCTTAAAAAGCACGATGTCTCAAACGTCGTAAAATGCACGATGTGCTATGTCTTATAAAGCACGATGTGACAAATGTCTTATAAAGCACGATGTCTCGGATCACTCAAGGTTTCTGGTAGGGTTGGGATTGGTTTATGGAGGGTGGGTTGGAATCAGGCTGAGCAGGGGGAAGGGAAGGTTGGGATTGGTTTGTGGAGGGTGGGTTGGAATTGGGCTGAGCAGGAGGAGGGGAGAGTTGGGATTGGCTTGTTGAGGGATAGAGGGAAGCAACATCAAAATTAGGATTTGTTTGAAGAGATGGAGAAGGATGGTTGGGATTGCTTACTCCTGGTGTTGGTATAGACTGAGGGTTAGTGTTAGATCCTGAGATAAAAAAGGAAACAAGTAATTTTTAATTAGTGTTTTGAATTATTAGTGAAATAGTGGAAATATGAGCTTATTGCAAGTTTTCCTTTGATAAATCTATGACATAAATATTGAAAATTTTGAAAGGCAAAGAACCTTCTTAAACTTGTAGTGCAATCCATGGTAATAAAAATAAAAAAGGATTAATATTTAAAAGTCATAATATCAAGATTTAAATTTCTCAGCAGAATAATTAGGTTATGTTGTTGCATATGTCTGCCAAAGAATATTTTCTTTTTTTAAGTGTGGTGAAAATGCATTCCCACTTTCAGGAGGCTATTATTTCCAAAATGTACATGTTCCACTTTTTTTGTATAAGTGTGTAATTGAAATTCTAACAGATATTTTTTGGTGCTGTGGCCATATATTTTACTCCACTGCACTTATCTCCATGTCAACATGCAAATTCGCTATAAAACAGCCTTTGCAGCACAGTTATCTAGAAGCTTTGGCAAAGATGGCCTTTACTATCTTTACCCATGAGTCGTGCTACATAAATGTGTATGAACTCATTGCAATCTTTTTGTGCTGAGTCAAGTCACAATGTCAACAATTTTTTTGCTTGTGGCCAAGGACATTTATGAGCTGACTGCAACAACACAAACCCCTAATTGCTTATGAAAGATTACACAAACCTCCATTTCTTGGGCGATGCAAAACCAAATATATTCGCCTGGAATTAGCCCTCCCCCTGCCATAAATTCTAAAAAGTTCCTTGGCGTCTGGTATGCCTTTGTATACTTTTTCTATTCTGCTTCCACGGTTTGCGGACTTGTATAGACGAATTCTATGAAAAGAAAGGGCCAACATTGACACCACATACAGTTTACAGTTGCTACATATGAAATGGGATTTCAATTCACTATGTAGTAAATATAGTATGTAGTAAATATAAATAGAGATGATCATTTATAAGTTTCTAGACTTGTTTGACATCTGTTATTCCAGTCCATATTCCATATTCCAGTCCATATTCCATATTCCAGTCCATATTTGCCTCCTCCCCCTTCTCCAATGGTTAGCCCTGCCCATCTGAAAATTCCAGTTAAGGCTCTTGCTTTCCTTAAATATTTTACCAATTGCCGGTTTTCACTGTCAAACCATCATCAAAACAATTAAACAGATGAAGTCAAGAATCAAAGGGATAAAATAAGCTGAATATTCAAACAATCTCGCAAAGATTCAGGTCTGTGCGATGTTTCGTGCGAGGGAGGGTCACAAATATGGCAGTTTGAAGCTACCAGTCAATTCCACCTTGCTTTAGCAGAAGACGAAAAACCCGATAAAACTGAAATTTGTTAAAAGAAAAGTCTTCAACTGTTCTATGAACAACCTTAACTAAAATCTCATTAGGATTGATAATTCCTTATTTTTTAATGTTGATGACGACACGTGAAATGACGCTCTATGGGGTGGGTCTGAATTTTTTTTCCTGTAAGACGGATTCTTTCCGCCCACCATTACATGTGTTATAAAAGGTGCTGCTTTTGTATATTACGAGCGGATTTCACCCCTTTACAGGCCTTACAGTCGCAGCAGGTCTACTGTGCATACTTAAGTTTTTATGTATGATCCCTAGCAAATAGTTAAAGTATAAGTGGTAAATTACTTAAGGCTGTCTTGAATCCTACGTCGAGTGGCTGGAATTTGCATTTTTTTCCTTACCTGGTTTTTACATTACTATAAACTTATCCGTTTGCATCCAGTATTCAATGCATACAACTTGCATGCGAGATTAAGTGCTCTGATACTTATCCTACCTATTCAAGTCAACTGCCGCAAGTCCAGCAAAATTTTCCTTCACCAGCTCTTTCATCTTTGCACTCGAATAGTTTCCTGGAATTGCGACGTCTTTAACCCTGCCCTCACGATTCAGCAGTACCCACGGATTTCCACGCGGTGTACATTTTGCCTTCTCTTTCAGCCATACGAAGACTTTATTAGTTGACCTCCCTTTCGGCTGCGGTGACCCGCAATCGCTAGCAGAGCTGGAATCGCCTGAATCTCCCATGTTCGATAACACTTCGTCAGTTCAGTCAACTTGCACAACAACAGCCTTTAATCGATGAAATCAAAACGAACAGGCCCTCTTTGTTCTGCTGTTGAAGCACGAGTCCGGCACGTGAATACGACAACCGAGATCAATCAACTTCATTGTTGGGGGAGGGGGGGCCACAGTGGGATATTATACCAAAATACTATTTCCGCTATCACATCAATATTGTGTATATGGGTTTAAGTCTATTCACATAGCTTTTTATTCCTTACTTTTCGATTGCGCAAACGAAGTAAAAATCGCAGTGGTTTGGAAAAGGAAGACGGTTGGTTGTGGAAATATCGACCAGTCATTGTTGTATTACAATCGGTAAACACACTGAATAAGAAAGCCGATACTAATCAACTTCATTGTTGGAGGGGGGGGCCAGTGGAATATTATACTAAAATGCTATTTCCGCTATCACATCACTATTGTATATAGCAAAGGTTATGAGCGAAGAAACCAGTTAGGGGTTCGTCTGTTCACAGAGTTTTTTTTTTATTACTTACATTTCGATTGCACAAACGAATTAAAAACCGAAGTGGTTTTGAAAAGGAAGACAGTTGGTGCGCAGGCGTCCAAAGCTCACGTCTCGAGGAAAAGCGAAAGATTATTTCACGAAAGCGTCACGCGTTGTGTGACCCGGTGTTACGTTTCGCGAGGAACCGTTGAGAATTTGAATGCATTATAAGGAATGGGGCACGAAATATGGTCGATTTACAACGCTAAGCCGGTATTCCGAAATATAAACATTTTACACGTAAGAATGATAAAACTTACCCACCCCTTGCGTGTCTGCGGTGGTTTTTTGAGATTTCTCCCGTTTTGGGTTTGCTTTGCCATCATTTTTGCTAAAACCGTGGCTCCCAAAATATTTTCTAACCTCGCCCAAAAAAATTTCAATTTTTTTTACAACTTCGCCTGTTCCTGATCGTATGTCCAGCCAAGCATTTAAGGTCACTGGTCCCCGTATAGCCGCTAACTATGGCTTAGAAATACAGGCGTCTAGTTTTAACCAGTAAAACTCCCTTAAGAAGTCACGACAGTTAAAAGAAACGCGTCGGAGATTAGAGAAGCTTTATAACTACTGTTCGCAGAGTGCTGCTCACTGGTTCAGTTTTAAGAAAAAAAATTTAAAAATCGTTTTTGTAGAGTCGCGACAGGCGTAAAAAAAAATAAGAAAATTAAAAATTAAGAAACACACTCACGATTCAGGGGCTAGCCTGCTATCACAACAATCTCCAAAGAGTTTTGAGATTAGTGATTATTATTTATTTATTTCGTGGCCTCACAATTCAATTTACAAACTTAAATTACGTAGTCCCTATATTGCGAGGCTAAGACAGGCAAAAAATTACCAATGATATTGTCTAGACCTCGCCATTGCCTCCACATCCTATCATCGAGATACGTCTGAACGTCGTCACGTGAAATGCCACATCGTGCTTTAATAGGAGCCTTCTGAATTAAGGAAACAAGGCTGCTAACTTAAAACCCAGGCCTAAAATATATTCTTTTCGCATTCCTATTCTATTTTTTTTAATAAGCAGGCACTTTATGAAGCAGTTTACATTAGAATATATTTTAGCAATGAAAAGTTCCACCATCGCTTACCACCGTGAAAGAACTTCGATGGCTGTTATTTCGTAAGAAGCAAGCACAGTCAGAAAGACTGCCACCAACCCGAGGTGCTCTTCTTCAAGCTGTTCTACGAGCCCACTATCAAGCTATTGTTTGGGACAACGATGTTGTGGCAAACCCTGACATTCCGTCTCCTGAAAACTATGGGTGGGAGAAAAGTGACAACAGATGGTTTCCAGTAATGACAAGGCTGCCGCCAGCACCAGAGGCCATAATTCAGCTAGTCAAATGCGGATGCACCAAGCAGTGCGCAAGCAACCGATGCCAGTGCCGCAGAAATGGATTGCCATGCACAGACCTTTGCTCTTGCTGTGATGAAGAGGATGAACCCTGCCAGAATGTTTTCAGTGATGTGGTAGATGACGATGAAGAATGTGATGACGAATAGGATGACATGAAGAATAAAGAAAATTAACAGATGGACCTTGAATTAATGCTGATACATTTTTATGTGTTCCTGTAAATGAAGCTATCTTACTTTGTAGGTTAACGTTACCTTCGATATATCAGTAAGAAATATGAAAGATATAAGGTGACTGACAACTTAACACAACTTTGTGCCCAGTTGAAAGCATTTAATTTTTTCTAGTAAGTCAACACGGTGATAGTATAGTTTGTATATTTTAATCTCACCAAGGACCAGCGATTGCTATTATTATTTATGGTTTACGGCACAGAGTAAGGCTTAATGTAATTAATAAGCCTCGTTGTCATCGTTAGTTCATGATGTTACAGCAGAATTTAGTGTAAACAGCCCTCTTGGTTGGCTTTAAAGGTCACAGCTTTGTAAATTAAGGCGATTTTGGCCAGCATCAAGAGTAAGTGTTTTCATGTCATTAATCGCGGGTTATGAGCCTCGTTTTCATGCTTAGTCAATCACGTGACTTTCATTAATAAACACAGTCGACTTCCTGGCATCTGGACTGTTTCACAATTAAATTTCAGGAGTTAGAACACGAGTCCGCGGTATGGGCTAATGTTACTTTCATGCTAAACTTACTAGCCTCGCTTTCATGCTAGATCGATCACGTGACCCTATTTAATAAAATAAACCAGTTTTTTGGCTTCAGGGTTGCTTACTTGTTGTATCTGGTGAATTTGGGCGGGTTTCACTGAATTGGAGAGAAATAATGGCCCCTTGTAGCCTCTCAGCCTCGTTTCCATGCTGGATCAGGTAGGTCCTTTTTCAATACCCCATAATTACCGTCTAATCGCTTAACAAAATTGTCAACAACGTTTTTTAGATTCCTTGGGGTCTAGTGAACCATGTTAGGCCACTGGCTTGCTTTCTTCCAAAAATGCCCACGGAATAACTTTAGCACCCAGACTATTTGGACGTTTCTCATTGGTGGCGTTTAGTCACGTTTTCGGTAATTTACATCTCCGCTGATATTTTCACCGTCGGCTCAATTTCAATATGGCGGATGAGCGCGCACGATCGAGTGTTACAGGAAAAAGTTCTGTGCATAATTAGAAATGTTCCTCATGCATCATTCGAAAGGCAAGGTAAACCCTCTTTTAACTTAAGAGGCAATCAAGGAAAACTCGAGATTTTACAAATTATGGCGTTTTGCGTGGATACAAACTGGGAAATTTGTATTTGTATCTGCGAGGATTCCCAGTCAGAGCATGTTCATTGTGCTTGCAACGATTGCAACGGCATGCCTGTCTCAAGAGCGACCGCATTCAGACATCGTAAGCGTGAACATAGCAGTTCAAGGGTAACTGGAAATTTAGGCTTGCACGAAGAGGAAATAGAAGGCCTTGAGGAGTCATCATCTAGTGAAGTTTTACAAGCCGTGGACCAAGATCAAGAGATGTTTGATTACTCAGACACATTCGTGGATAGTCTCGATTCTGGTACTCCTGAAGAAAACGAATCGAATGAATTACACGTTCGTGCAGGTGATGTAGACTCAACCAGAACAATAACTGAGCAAACAATAGATGTAATTCTTGATGCTCTACAATTGCAGCTTGAACTAAAATTGTCAAACATTGGATTTGATCATATCTTGGACTGGTGAAAGAAACTATTCATGATGGGATTTAGAGAGCAGTATCAACATTTGTGGCCAAAATGTTGGAAAGATGCAGAGGTACTTTTGCATTCTGTCGGCTACAGGGATGCTAAAAAGTACATAATTTGCCTTGATGAGAGCCACAGATGTCACTTTGGTTTAATGTCATCAGAAGATGATTTATGTCCTCACTGTAACAAAAAGGGAACTATTCCTTACTACTATCTTGCCTTAGGTCCTAAGATTAACCTCTGGGCAAGTGATCCTATGTTTTGCAAAAAAATGCTGTCACACTGGTTTGAAAAGGATCATTGGCTTGGACAAGAAAATCAAGATGGTTGGGGTTTCACATGCAAAAGTGAGATATGGGATGGAAGACGTTTCTCAGAGCTTCAGTGGTTTTGGAATCCTGAGGAAGAGTGGCAATTACCTGCCAAATGTGATAATTGTGGTGGGGTTGTCTCAGTCCAAGATATCAATTCTTCTCCTGATGGAAATGATGGACAAAAGCTGGTAACCTGTTTATCCTTTGCAGTCACTTTCCCCCCTGTTATCCAGAAAGCAACTGGAGATCCAAGAAACTTAGCGTACATTCTTCATTGGGATGGATTTCAGCCATTTGATGGTAAATACAATCATGGCTCTGGAGCTATTGAATTTCAGATAGCTAATATGTCCAAGGAAGACAGACAAAAACAATCTGAGATATTTGTTGTCGGTTTTGTGCCTGCGTATTTGCTGCCAGGAAGAAGGCCGATATCTCTGGATCCATTTTTGCCACCTCTTCTTGATGAAATTGAAGATGGATTTATCAATGGCATCGCAGTTGATAATTATAGCTTTACATTGCCTAACTTTCCTTCTGGGCCTGCAAAATTAAGGCATCTTATTTTGTGTGTTACTGGGGACCATGTTGCTATTTGTGAGGTTTGTAAGGGAATTTTCTGTGGAAAAAACCCTTGTCGACGCTGCAAATGTGGAAGTATCTTGGACCCTGGTAGTAATCACTATTACTATGGAAATTACCGAAAATCGACAAGGTATTCATGGCCAAAAAGAAACATTCATGATGAACTTGAAACATTGCAATTAATTGAACAGGAAGAAAGAAGAACTGTAGCTCAGGAAATGGCAAAAGAATCAGGATTTACTGGTTTGTCTGTGCTTCATCGTCTCCATGCATTATATGGTTTTGATTAACGCAAACACTGTGTTTTTGATGTTATGCACACGGTTGCTCTTGGAGTTGTAAGAAATAACCTTAATTTCCTTCTGTCTAATCAACTTTTGGATCAGAAAGTACTTCAAGAA